AGCCTCCCACGTAAACGTGCCGACAATTCTATGTCTGATTCCTTGAACTCCTCGCTCCTTAGAGCACGTAGAAGAGCTACACAGTGTTCATCCTTGGCATATGCCGTACGAATTAGGTCAGTGACCGGCGACGACAGAGTCGTAACATGAGCAAGCTCATAGTCAGGCCTGCGTGAAAACGCATCAGCCAAAGCATTCTGCTTGCCCGGCTTGTACTTCACCTCGAAGTTGCATTCGGCAAAGAAGGAAAGCCAACGAGCCATTCTCTGAGAGAGGTGAGACGACTGGGTCGCAGTGCGTAGTGATGCATGATCTGTATAGATCACAAACGGCTTAGAGCCAAGAAGATGAACTTTAAATTTGACGAGAGCATACTTCGTTGCAAGTAGCTTTTTGTCATGAACAGGATAGTTCTTCTCCGTAGCTTTCAGCTGTCGGGGCTCAAACGCAATGACGCGTTCCCGTCCATCAAAATCTGTCTGTAACAGGGCGCTTCCTATGGAAAAGTCAGACGCGTCACAGACGACACTGAAATGTCGATCAGGATCGGGAAAAGCCAAAATTGGTGCATGAAAGATACTCTCGTTAGCATCTTTGAAAGCATCATGCTCGGTGATAGTCCAGCACTATTCCACATCCTTTTAAGGAGATTGGATAATGGCCGAGCCATATCTGCGTCATTCGCACTGTACTTGTGCAAGTATTTGGCAAGGCCAAGCCACTTACGTAAGTCTTTTTTGATTCTTTGGAATCGGCCAATCAACTATGGCTTTTACCTTAGCGAGATCCGCTCTACGGCCTCGCTTTCCAATTTAGCACCCTAAAAAGTGAATCTCTTCTGCACCAGAGATGCACTTAGACGCGTTGGCGTACAACTTATTCATGCGCATGCACTCGAGCACCGCTCGTAAATGGTCAATGTGATTGTCCACATCTGACCGACCGTTCATAGCACGACTATGGACAAAGATGTCATCAAAGTATGTATGTGCATAACCTCTGTGAGGTCTGAACAATTGTGTCACGAGACGATTGAACGTATCCGGGGCATTATATAACCCTTGCGACATAACAAGCCACTCCCAGAGCATACCGCTCGGAGTGCTGACCGCTGTCAGAGAAATATCGCTCCATCGCATAAGCAGTTGGTAGTAACCATCGAATAAGTCGAGCGCACTGCACATTGTACATCCCACCATATTTTTCTAAAGAACGGCCTTTCTCGGAATGGGCATCTGATCCGGGATGGTGGCCGCATGAATCTTATTGTAAGCATGAACAATTCGCCACTTCCATTGGGCTTTTGACACAGAATGTCGGTGTGGAATCGGGAGATTTGCTCTCACGTGCCATTCCTGCCGCGTGCTTTGCACGAAAGAAATCGTCAATGACGTCACAATGCTCTTTCGGTAGAGGCCACTGCCGTGTTACGCAGTATTTAGCTCCAATATCCAAGTCAATCTCATGACTTACGCCTCCATCGGGAGATGAGACGGACGGTGGATTATGATACACCACATCCTGAAACTTCTTTTTCAAAGGATACAACGTATCCATCGGATCATTTAGGATCGAAGATCAACTACAGGAACCAAGTTTCACTCTTGTGTCCTCAAGGACTGACTCGTCCAATCACGAAGATGAGTTCAGCTTAACATCGGGTCGCATTTCCACCAAATCAGATAACTCTCCTGCCTTCAAATCTTGGCTGAATTCGCCATCAGACATTTCGTCTAGTTCAAAGAAAACATCCAAGTATGGAAGAGTCTCAAGACTAATGTTGCCATTAACATGGTCATTCACTCCATTGACAAGTGCAATAGTGTATTATTACCATCATCCATTCGTGAAGTCCTGGACGTTGGGCGCTTAACGGTTGCCACTCGACGCCGTGATTTTTTACTCAAAGAAACTTACGCCTCCTAGAGGCCGGGACAATAGGGTCCCCGTAGTTGATGTTTATCTTAGCACACTCTATAAGAATGCGCATGTCTTGAGCGACATCAGATGAAGAGTTACATAACTCGAACAATTTACCCAATGTACTTAAACATACCTCTTTACGTGCATTATGTGGGCCTATACCTGAATGCTTCGGCTTTTTGCCAACAATGTCAATACCGACATTCAGTGAGGTGCCATCTCGGCCGCCCGCACTCGGTGAAATATCACGTGACACCCCAATGACATCAGAGGAATTACATTCTCGATGTCTCGTCCCTAGGCCAACCATGCATGCAGCATGCAGTGACCCGTTATCAAAACGAGTATCGCACAACGGATTATGAATCGTTCACATACGGTGAAAGAGCTCCGCTCAATGTTCATGTTATTGACGTTATAGATAATTAAATCGGACATACTAATGTACGACACGTTAACATCCTCTGTCAATGGCTCGCGCCAATAGTGCTTCTGTTGCCTAGAAAAGTGAGCTCATGACTCTCCAAATATTAACTAAGAACATTGGGCGCTGCGCCTAAATGCTAAGACCTCAAATTACTCCATGGCTCATGGCGTTCAAGCCGATACATACCCAGGATGAGATCGTATCTCGAACTTAAATCGAGGACAAGGTAGCGTTCAATGCTGTCAAAGTCCAAAAGCTTCACAACTAAGTTCAACGGAACTTTAGGCACAGTAACGCGACTACCCGTCTCTAACCGAACAGTGATGGAATCACCGTCGTGCGCTTTGAGCGCCTCAGCATATTGCTGACTTCCCTTTAGGGAACGACGTCGAGCATAATTGCATGATGCTCCGGAGTCGATTAGGATCGACCAATGCTTCTCAAAGCGTTTAATCTTCGCCTCGGCGACTAACAAGCCAGGCTTGTATCCACGCTCTGTGCTGGCTAGCACAGAGCTCGGTGGGGCTAATCCCTGTTTTGCTCTACCTCGTAGAGAAGCAACAAAACTCAGTTCTACCCCAGCATAGCGCCCCGCGCCTACTGGGTGTCGACGTTTCCCCGTGCCATACCAGGTTTCTGGTTGTGGCTGGGTATCCGACCCATAGGAGTCGGTTGTTGCTTACGTAAAGGACAAGTGGGACGCAAGTGTTTAGTGCTTTCGTACATATAACAGCGTCTCACTTCCTTTAGTTGCTCTGCAACATGAAGCTCCGCTTCACCTTCATCTTCAGCATGGCTGAGATCCATCGGTTCTAACTTACAGTAAATCGAGGTGCTCGCAGATATTGCTCTCGAAAAGCTTGGGCTGTGCCCATTCCAACCAAGTCTGGCCGAGTTGAAGTTGTGCTCAGCATTTTGAGCGATGCTAACAGCCTCCTCAAAAGTAGAGGGATGGACCCGAAACACCTCGGTCCTGGCAACGCCATTACGAAGACCTTTCATTATGACAGTCACATAGAATGTCTCAGGAAGAGAGTCAAACTGCATAGCAGTCATCAGAGTTCTCAACTCTTGGATATAGTCCGATAACTCATTCTTACCCTGACGGGTAGACAAGAAGCGTGAGTGCACGCAATAGGCCTGGTTAGGCGGCGAGAAAACTCGCAAAAGGTCTAACTTGAGCAAATAAGATGTGGGAAACGCCAAGTCTACCGACGTGCCACACGTCAGAGTCCACTCTCTCGCTCTTCCATCGAGGTTGAAGATGGCCAACGAGACCCGCTGATACTCCAGTGAGATAAGGCCAGAGCTCATGGCCATCTCAATACAACGGATCCAGAGGGTCAGGTTTTCCCCCTCCTTCCCGGAGTAATGTTTAACGTCCACCCTTAGGGGACGAGGCTTAGCCTCATCGTCTGGAATCGCCACGTAGCGTGTTGGCATAGCCGACGCTACTTGGTTTTGAACCTGCCCTAGCAGGGACGTTTCATACTGCATGAAGGCCTCGACTCGTGCATTGAGCACATCGGGACCTTGTGCAGCTAGAAACTCCACATACTCAGGGCCTACGGCCACGGTCAGCTTCTCAAGCGCGACCTTTTGAGTCCCAGAGAGGGGTGTAGATTGATCCATCCTCACAGAGGGTCAGTCATTACCGACTCAGGTGTAGATTGAATACGAGTGCTACCAAGTGTAGCGGAGCTACACAGCTCCTTAAGCCAGAGGAAGACTTAACGCTCTTACGAGCAACTTTGGTTCTACGAACCCGACTCAAAGAGTCAACAGCTCCGAGAGCTAAAGGGTGGTTCTACGAACCCGACTCAAAGAGTCAACAGCTCCGAGAGCTAAAGGGTGGTTCAAAGAACCCGACTCAAAGAGTCAACAAGCTCAAAGAGCTTACGGTCCCTGTTCCAGGGGGACCAAACTATTCAAAGAATCAAACGCACTAAGTGCACAAGGAGTAGCTGCCTTAACAAGGCGTTGCTACTTCCTTACGATCGCAAGACGCCTCAGAGAGGCACGTGTCTTTTGTTGATCAAAATGAGAAATGAATTTTATTCCTTCTTTTAACCTAAAAGAACACCGTAGAACAAAGTAAATAACCTACTCACTTATGTCCTGAATAAACCTATTAAAAGATCTCGTACACAATAATTGACAGACATCAGTCTTCAACAATTGATACTTGTGTTCTAATATCACTTTAAATGGGATCCCATCTCTTGTGTGTACCACACCTATTGTCGACTTCCAGTCGACGTGTAACCCCGTTACACTTGAAGTAGTAGTCAGCACATGTAGATGCTGTTACTACGCAGCACCCTACACCGTCTTGCGTCGTCCAGATCATATCAAGTCCTACCTATGCGTTCTCCTCTTTTCCAAGCCTCACTGCGCGTACTATATGGCTCGCATGACGCCAGGCAGTAACGATCGTATTGTCGCCTATAATCAATCTTTGACGTATTGCAATAACTGCAATCACATGTCGCCGCAGTCCAACTGTCCTTGACACAAGACGCGCTAATCTGTAAGGACCGACGCTTTTTTTGACAATGAAGAGGCAAAGACTGCCGACACGATTCGCGTGGTGCACCTGAAATTGTATCTTGGCCCAATCGCTCCATCTCAGAAGCTCAAAAAAAACACAATGGCCGCTCTTCTCCAGACTCTGACGTCCCACGTCCGCGTTCCTCGCGCCTCTGACCGCGTGTACCGCGACGAGTGCGTCTTCTCGTTCGACTGTCCGCTGTCTCCTTCGGGTCTCTATACGAATTTGCACTCGTTCCTCTCGTACGGGGCCTCAAGCCTCGCGTTTGACCGCAACGGCACGTCCGTCTACTTACACCAGCACCACCAGCGCAAGCTCAAGCCACGCACGGCACAAGTTGACAACGGAAAGCCCACGAAGCTCGCGATAGGCGTTGATGGAGGCTTTTCTGTCGATGCAGACGACAAGTTTGAGCTTACAAAAACGTGTTTTGTTGTTCTATTGGACTCGGAGCACCAGGAACAGGTCCGCGTGCCTCTAGACGATCCAGATGTCCCTTTGGAAATCAAACAAGCGGCTGAGGCTGTGCTGCAACATGCAGGAAACACTGTCAGTGAGGAGGTGGCGTCCTGGCAGGAGGAACTCAAGCTTTCCAAGTACGCAGAGCAGCTAGAGCAGCTACCGGCTCCACCACAGATTGCGTCGAACCCGTTGGCGTGGAAGTGTCAAGGCCCTCAGTGTGATAAACAAGAGAACTTGTGGCTCAATCTCTCGGATGGCTACATTGGCTGTGGGCGACAGAACTGGGATGGATCAGGTGGATGTGGTGCTGCACTGACGCACTTTAGCGAGACGGGAGGAAAGTACCCACTGGCTGTCAAGTTGGGCACGATTACAGCAGAAGGAGGCGACGTGTACAGCTATGCACCTGACGAAGATGATATGGTCAAGAACCCGCTCTTGGCTCGACATTTGGAACACTTTGGCATCAATGTCAACAATCTACGCAAGACGGACAAGTCGATGAATGAACTACAAGTGGGGCTAAACCTTTCGCATGAGTTTGACGCTGTGACGGAGGTCGGAAAAAAACTTGTACCCGTGTCAGGGGCAGGGTACATTGGTTTCAAGAACTTGGGCAACAGTTGCTACATGAACTCGGCGCTGCAGCTGCTGTTGGCGTTACCGGAGGTCCAGGAACGATATTTTAAGGACACCGATACGATTTTTGCCACGGTCGACACGCCGTCGGTGCTCCCTGTCGACGACTTTGCTGCACAATTTGCTAAGCTTGCGAATGCAGCACTTACGGATCGATACAAGAAGCAATTTCGAACGCTCGAGGACAGCAGCAAGAATGTTGAAGAGGACGACATTCGCAACATTGATCTACGACCCACAACTTTCCGTGCTCTTGTCGGCAAAGGCCACGCTGACTTCTCGACGGGCCAGCAGCAAGATGCTGTGGAGTATTTGCAATATCTTTTGGACTTTATGACTCGAGTCGAGCGTGTTAGCACGAACCGCTTAGGACCGCTTTTTGCAGGTGGCAGTGCCACCAGTGCGGAGCTGCCGACTGCAAGTTTGTTCAAGTTAAAGCTAGAGGATCGTGTGCAGTGTATTGCTTCGAGTAAAGTTAAATACGTGCCGCGCGACGACACGGTCTTGCAGTTGCAAATTCCCCTGGAGGCAGCCACGAACGCGACACAGGTGACTGCATTCCAGGTGCTAGAGCAAAAACGTCAGCGCCTTGTCGACGACGGGAAATCTGAGAGCAATACAGGTGCTGATAGCGAAGAGTGTGTGGTGCCTAATGTCCCATTCGAAGCTTGTGTCGAAAAGACGTTGGCACCCGAAATTATCGACGATTTTCTGTCCCCGGCAACAGGCAAGAAGGGTCAAGCACAGAAGACAGTTCGCTTCTACTCATTCCCGCGTTATTTACTCGTGCAAATGCGACGCTTTTACGTAGCTGAAGACTGGACGCCAAAGAAGCTGGAAGTCGAGGTGAAGGTGCCCGAAAAGTTTTCGCTGACACGATATTTGTCCAAGGGTCTTGCAGATGGTGAGGAGGAAATGATGGACGATCCTGTAGCCAATGCGACGAATGAGAGCGGTGCTGGTGCCGCGGTAAATACTGCGGATGAAGCTTTGGTAGCTCAGCTGGTTGCCATGGGATTTTCCGAGAACGCCTGCAAGCGTGCAGCGATTGCGACTGGCAACTCGAATGCTGAAGCGGCTATGGAATGGATTTTCAGCCACATGAACGACCCAGACTTTGACCATCCGCCTTCGCCAGCACGTCCTGTATCCAAGGCTGCTGGCGAGTCAGTCAACATGGACATCGTGTCCAGTCTAATGGCCATGGGCTTCGCAGAGTCTCACGCCAAGTGTGCGCTTAAGCAAACAGGAAACGATCCTGACCGTGCAGCTGAGTGGTTGTTCAGTCGCATGGCCGATCTAGATAGTGCTGTCGCCGACTGTGATCACGATGCAGTGCCATCAGCAGCCTCGTCTGGCTCCTCTGAAAATTGCTTGGATAGCAAGGTGGTTGGCGACTTCTCTCTTGTAGGTTTTATCAGCCATGTTGGCAAGAACACCAATTCTGGGCACTACGTTTGCCACATGAAGAAAGATGGCCGCTGGATTATCTTCAATGATGATAAGGTGGCCGTGTCGCAGGAACCACCGCTAGGCGCTGGTTATCTTTACTTGTTCCGTCGCACTGACCCCCAAAGCTAGCGGGTTGCAAGAGTCTGTCAAGTTAGGCGTGGTCGTAGCAAGAACACATCCAGGATAAGGCACAATGCATCCTGGATAAGGCACAATGCGCATGATGTTCTTGACTTCTCGGTATTGCCGTTCTTTAGCAGTTTGATTTTACTAGTATTAGCTTGCGCAGTCACGCATAAACGAATGATGAAACCTGGAACTGCGTCTAAGTTTCGTCGAGTACGTCGTCTTCACACCCCTCTTCGATCATCCTATGCTTCATACTGCATCTACCTCATCATGATGACTTTGCTGCCGCTTTGCTACTCCTTCTGCCACCATGTCTTTATTCCGTCATCAGTATCGCATTTTATATTGCTCATCTTGGGCTGCTTTTGCATCTCAATCCGTGGCTATGCCGGTCCAGTTCACGCAGCAACTATCGCCGTCGTTATCGATGTCGACATTGCTTCAATCATCCGTCCATTCTGCACTTCGCATATAGTTATTCCAACGCATGTGATCCTTGCGACGGCTTGGAAAAGTGATGGAAATGATAGACCGATGCAGTCTTGCTATTGCTGTTGTTTACTGCCACAACCAGTACCCGTCCATCTGGCGAGCACACGCTTGACATGCAGTCGCACGTGTCTCAGGATGGCGCTAAACAGATCCGACATCAGTCACGAAGTCCACACTGAGACAGAATGCGCGGCTGTCTTGGTCTTTTCAGCTTGACGTTGTGTCATTCTTTTGTGGGAAGTGAGACCAGTGGCACCTTGTCGAGCAAAGCAGAGACTCAAACGCATTGTACAAGCATCGTCTGTTGTAGTGAACGAGACTCCTCATACGGGCTACATAGAGCCGAAATCACAAAAAGCGTCGTCAAGAATAAGACCTCTTGCTATATGATGGATTTGCACTAAGGCAAAATGTCTAGCATTGGGAAGGGTATGTACCTTGTTGTCGTATCCTGTGGACCGTTGTGAAGTGTCGAGTAGGTTGGAATAGAAGAGCTGAGCAAGACATCTGTGGCAGCGATCGTATGGCTCAGGCCTGCCTGAAGCGTCCGAGACTCGATAGAAGGTGACCACCAGGCTGCATTCGATCTGTCATCGTTGTTGTATCAAGACATCATGTACCTCTTTGTGGCGCCTCCGTCTTGTCTACCAGGATACCGTCCCTGACCAGATCGGCACCTTAGTAACCCTGCTCCAATTACTAGCGATGTATTGCGACGTACGAAACCGTGCGCAGAACTTAGACCACACCTACAATTCCGTAACACAAGATCACTTCCGATGACTCCATACATCAAGCATCGCAACCTGAAATCAATGCACCATGTAACGGGGTGAGCCCGTTACGTAAAAATTGATAATTTCGTATCAATTTTGAACATTATCTATTTAGATAATGTTCAATTGACATTACTCGTAAGTAGTAAGGTTGAAGGAATATTACCCCCGAGGGTACTATTTCTTTGGTGGGTTGCTCCACCTGATGGTTGATGTTCACGGTACATCATTAGATTAACCATTAATCGCTGCTGGACGCGCGCAATGAGTGGTGAGCAAGAAACGCAAATGGGAGATTGTGGTTTAATATAGTTAGCTCAAGACAAAGATGGTTTATTAGGAGCATAACTATATTAAATACAGCTCTACTTTTTCCCTTAGACAAAGATTTCTAGTTCTGCCTACTTTGCTGCGCTTCCTCACGCCACGTGTACGTGACGTCGGGTGCACACAACCTTGTGTCGAATTGACACAAGGCGTGCCCCGTTACACCTGGTAGCACTTCATTGTCTGTCCAGCGACAACAACCACCTCATCCGACATGAACATGTCGGATGAGGAGGAGAACTGTTACGCCACGCGTGAAGGCTTTAACCATTTGAGTGGCATCAAACGGAGGGCGGTAGAACAAATGATTTCTACCGTTGGCGAAACCGCCATTAGCGCCATGTTGGAGTCCCTTGACAGGGGCCAACAACATGCAGACATAGCCAATTTATTTAAAATAAAATTGTCGCCGTAAGAGAGAAAGTAGCATTGATTCATCAGCAAGGCTCTCAACAGGCCGAGTAGTTGAAAGCACTCGGTGCTCAACAGACAGAGCTGTTGATACAGCAGCAATTCAATGATGATGTGGGCATTGAATGGCGACGCGTGTGCGTCGTCCCGAAACATTGAAGGTTTATATCTCTATGTACAGAGGATTCGACCAAGAATCCCTGTTATTATGGTGCATCGAACTAGAAAGAGCAATAAATGCACGTCGTATCGACGACGAGCAAATGAACCTAACAAATGCTCAAACCCACTTGGCAGGACGTGCCAAGTTAAGCCTTGGGGCTGTAGATCAGAGACCCATATGCTAGTGAGTCTCTGGAAGCTTTCAAAACCCGACACAAACAATCGCTTGAACCGCCTCGGGATGAGTTCAGGGCTCGATCTGAGCTCCTGAAACTCGAGCAGGGTAAGCGTAATATGCGCGCTTACGCTCAACATATACGACTCCTCTCTAGGAGAATTACTGCTAACCTTGTACATGAACACACGTTAAATACTGTGTTCATACAAGGGCTCGCAGACGGGCCCGTCAGGAATCACCTGTTCCGCCTAGAGTTGCATACTTTAACAGATGCTATAGCAGCATCGGAACAGGAAGACTTGAGCATTAGACAAGCTCATGCTAGCTCGATCTATTATCGTCCACCGAGACGACAAGAGACTGGAGGTCCATAACCAATAAACCTCTCTTATGTTGAATGCGAGAGACCTCGCTCTTTAAACAACAAGCGATTGCAGAAGTGCAATCGCTGTCAGAAGCTAATACACTACGCTTACGAGTGTATTGCCCCACGCCCAGCACCAAACAGTACTGAGCGAAATGGACGACCATTCGCCAAGAAGGGCAATGGGCGTGGGTCCAGCGCTGTTGCGAAGCCGCAACAGCGAGACGGACCATCAAAAAATGGTCTGGGTCAGTAGGGGCGGAGCGCCCTACTGATCCAGCAACCTCAAGAGAATTTGCAAATATCTTGACGAAAGTTGCTCCAGATACACAATCATTGTGTGTCTCTGCACCTGGTGATGACGTTTCGATCATCCCCTCGAAGTTGGAAGCGACAAATAATTTGTCACTTCGTGCTCTAGTAGGCTGTGGGGCTTCAAACAAATTTGTTCGTCGCTAGTCACTAGAGGGTCGTAGGCTCAAGTTCGTTGAGCGCGACATTCCCCTCACGAGGACGACGGTGCGCCTTACAACAGGTGCATCGATTACCGTTAAAAAACGTGTAGTCGGAATCCACTGCGCGTTGGAGGGTGAACAGTACGGTGATGAATTCATCGTACTAGATCTGGATGACAAATGTGATGTCATCCTAGGATTACCTTGGATCAGAAGGTACGAGCCAAGGGTTAGCTGGCAGCATCGATCCGTCAAGATACCTGCCGCTTGTTCATCAGGTGACCATCTGATGACCGTCATGGAGCGTCCACAAGCGTGTGAATGTAATGCGAGTGAGTGCGATGGCCTCACTCGCGGTAAGGTCGTTAGCACGACTGCGCAAGACCTCGGCGTAGCTGATCACTACACTGTGGAGCAAGCTCCCGGCAGCTATACAGAAGTACAGGCAGCGCCGAAGGTCCACCACTCGAATTATTCGAGTGGACCGGGACATGGATGTATGCCTGGCGGGCAACATCTTTGAAAGAATAAACCTGCTGTCACCAAAGGACAACAAGATCATCCTAGGTCGACTGGTGCGCCGACATTAAAGAATCGAGACCTGACTGTGGTTGCACAGCCACAGTAAGAAGACGTCGAGGGAATAAGTCCCCACGTACTTAAGGAAGGAATTCCTCAAAAGTCACTTGCTGAAGGATTAGTCCTTTAGCAACCTGTGGAACGAAGTTTCCAGGAAGTAACCGAGACGTTGAACGTCTTGGTTAATGACGGATCAAGCGTAGGCGCTTATACGCTTGATCTGATTGTGCCTCCGAAGTTAACTTCGGAGATAACTCAGTTGCCAACGCTAGAACCGAAACGGTTCTTGCGTGATCTGCGCAGTGGCAAAGTCAAGCAGATCTGCATACTCGTCACGGAGGATGAGTATGTGACCGATATTCGGTCGGCAACAGTATTTGCCGAGAACGAACGGGTTCTCAGCAGCTCATCGATGGACGAAAGTGTCCTCGATGAGAAGACTCGGATTGAGCGATACGCGTCTCAATCCTGGGAGTCACTTCAGGCAAATCCTTTGTATAAGGATTTGATTGAATTCAAGGATGTATTCCCTGAATCCGTACTTTGCGAGTTGCCTAAGGAAAAAGTAACTCGACACGAGATAGAGCTCAAACCGGGCTCGAAGTACTGTGTCATGAAGCAGTGGTCACTGTCTCGTGAACAAGTACTAGCGATCGACAAGTTCTTTGCCGATAGCTTAGCATCGGGCCATGTAAGGGAATCAACATCCCCTCACAGCTCTCCGACCTTCTGTGTGCGAAAGGTCACAGTAGGATGGCGGATAGTGCACGCGTTCAACAAGTTGAATGCTGCAACAATACTGACTCAGACGCCGATACCAAAGTAGGACGTAGTCATAGATGGTATGTCAAAGAGTACCATCTTTTCGTCCATGGATCTGATGGATGGGTTCTGTCAGATCCTCATGCGTTAATAAGATATCCAGTACACAGCAATGAGCACCCCGAGCGGTATGCTGTGGAAGTGGCTAGTGATGCCACATGGGCTGAGTAACGATCCTGCAAATTCAACAGATGTGTCACAAATCTGTTGAGGCTGGTGCGAGATTCCGCACCGAGTTACTTCGACGATGTGTTCGTTCGTAGCCGGGTTATCAACGGGTTAACGTACGTGTAATTTCATAGAACACACGTTCGTCAGGTTCTTCACCTTATGCGCAAGCATAAGTTGTACGCCAATCTCAAGAAATGTATCTTCGCGGCTAGCGAGATACCGCTTCTTGGGTGCATCGTTAATAAACACGTCGTACGCCCTTA